TTTTTGCCCTGTTGGTTTCCAGTGACCTCGACAGTGGCTGGACAGTGGCCAAACACCAGCATGCCTCACACAAGAAAATATTCCCAAGCCCCTCTCCAGCATTTGAAGTTACAAAAACCATCAGACAGCTATCATCACAGTAGATTAAAACTGATCTCACAGGTGTACATACTAGGTCTATATTTCACATTGCATTTGAAGCAGAGAGAAAGGAGATACGTTATTTTACAACACCAAAGGGTGTGAGGCAGAGTACAGTACATGTACAGTTCGGTAAAGCTAAAGCTGTGACAGTAAAATGTGTATAGGTAACAAAAACAGTACTATTCATTAGAATAATCTCAATTTTATGCTCCATTATCATTGTACTATAAGACTGTCTGACTCACTCAGCTGTTTTGTACCCATCAGTTCCTACCGCCTGTCATTTGGCTTGTAGATATATTGGCCTTTTTTTTTCACAGGTCCACCCGGACCACCAGGTGCCAAAGGAGACAAAGGAGACAAAGGAGACCAATCAAACCCATCAGACTGTAAGTCCATACACTAGATAGAAGTAGCAACTATAACTAAATGCAAATTATAGTAGCATGATAATATGACCTGAGTGTAGAAAGTCCAAATATGTGCAAAACAGAAAGAAGCTTCAGCCACTAGGGCTGAGAGTGATAGGCTGATATCTCAGTCAGTTAAGCAAGTTCACGCCAAAACACTTCTCTTAAATCCTTAACATCTGTAATTCTGTGTCAACATAGTGAACGTACGTCTAGTGCCAGGGAAATATCGAGGGCGAGTGGAGGTGAAGTACAATGGGGTCTGGGGTACAGTGTGTGACGACAGATTCGACACTGCGGATGGCACAGTGATTTGTAAGATGCTGGGCTTCCGAGCTGCCGTTTCCACCTTCAGTCCCACTTCGGGTAAGAAATCTGCTGCACACATCATATTTTCTCTAAACTGTGCTTTGTCCCCTGTTTGGAATACAGGGGGTCCTGGAGTTCTCAGACCCCTTGACTGACAGCTTGGACCCCATGAAAATCTCAATATGAGATTTCAGGGGGTCTCAGAAATGTGCCTAGTTATTTTCTCTTTATCCACACAATACAATTTATTTGTATGTGGCTTTGTTTCTAAAATAATACAGTAAAAATATACAGTATTGTAATCACTACATTTATGGTACTGTACCAAAAATGTCCCTCTGGTAGAGACAGATTATGGTCCACAGGAATGCGTGTTCATCTGCCAGAGACAGATTATGGTCCACAGGAATGCACAAATTGTTAATGATAAGGTTAATCAATTTATTTGGCCAAGTATGTTACACACACAAGGAATTTGTTTCCGGTACAGAACCAAGGCAGCCATCTGTGGCGCCAACTCACACCGATGGCTCTAACCAAACTGTTACTGTAAAGATGCTTCAGCCAGTTTATCTTCACCTACCACTGCTTTTGTCGGGATCAAACACAATAGACACAGCATAGGCTTTATTCCTACATCATAGTCACAAAAACCTAATCATTTAAGTAAACTGTAACTGAACAGCAGTGGCTGAGGCTGCCTGATTGATCTGCAGGACATATGAGGCATTAGCAGGGTATTTGTCATTTACCATGGTTCTTGAGCTGCTCTGATGTATTACTATTGTGTTGTGTGCCGATCTGTAAATATTATACGTGGGTTGAGCGCATGGTCTGAAAACAGCATTAAAACAGAGGAGGGCTTTGAGGGGTGGGGCTAAGTAGAGTATGATTTGCATCATACTTTTGCGTCAGGAGCGATCCATGAAGAGAGAATGGCCCTGAGCCACAGTGTTTCATCCTCATCTATTTGCCCCACAGGATGATATATGCTAAGCTGTAGGCCCCTCTTCCCCTAAGTCTGCGGTCTTCCTCACAGCGTATCCTGTTATCGTTCCTGTCTCTTCTTATGGTCTCATACCGCCTTTCATGTCCATCACCGCTATCCAGTTCTCTGCTCGCTTTGACAACACTGAGCATTAGGAAAACTGCTTGAAACTTGCATCCCTAGTTTTCATTCATTGTCCATCACAGTTTCAGAGTTCCTTGCTATCTCTGTATCCCATGACGTTCTTGTGTTTGTGTCTTTTGCTGTTCTACGTCTGTCTGACAGCTTCCCTTTAGTTAACACACTTTTTGAATTTCAGCAATCAACCAGCAGTTCAATGGCCATGGGACGGTGATAGTACAAAACAAACAAAACAAGACACGGTGTTAATTAATGACTTTTAGAGAAGCTGGTATATGTATCTTTAAACTTTGGACAGTCAAGGAAGCAAATAAGCATATTTCCTAAAATGTTGTGTGTTTTTTTAACGTGACTATCCTAACGTCCTAACATTGATGTCATTCTGCAGGGTCTGGTCGCATCTGGCTGGATGATCTGCAATGCACAGGAAAAGAGTCCAGTATCTTTAACTGCCCACAGAGTGAAATTGGTGTTAACAACTGCAATCACGATGAAGACGTTGGAGTGCATTGTATCTAGACTGACACCATACTGAAGATGGACACCCCCACCCCACCCCGAAAGAGAGAGAGACAGAGAGAGAGAGGTGTTTTCTCTGATAAACCTGCAGTGAGTGGTGGGCACACGAACGTTCACGGCTGAATATTCAAAAAACATATAAAAGCATAAATTTGCCTTCAGCTAAGTTCTACTTTATGAACACATTAGTGCCTCTGCTGTGTGTGATATTGTTGTCAAATGAGTGTGCTGTAAACAAAAAGCTTACTAATTAAACTGTACTGGAATAAACATTTCAAGGGTTTCTCCACTGTATTGGTCAGTCTGCTAAATTATCCCATGTGATTAGTGTTATAATCCTCTTTTAACGGTACATATACCTTGTTTAGAGAGAAACCGCTGCTTCTCCCTAAATTCAAATGAAATGATTTTGTTTTAATACAGACAGCTAACAAAACTATCGGTATTAGACGTGTTGGCATGAAACAACCATGTTTCCCTTTGCTTAGGAGAATTAATACTTATTTTTATTCAAAATTTATTGCATACGTCTAACAAAATGATCAGGGTTAAGCTAGTATGTGGGTGAAAAATAAGAGCTTCTTATTAGGTAAAAAAATAATTGTATTGTTTATGTTAAAATGATTCCTTACATCTAGCTACACTAGCTGGGTTAAACATTGTCAAATATTATTTAATTGAGAGGGAAACAGTAACCATTCAGTCTTCAGAAAACATCAGCCTACATCTGTGTGCTGTCTGTCAGAGCTAATGTAATAAAAACCTGCTGATGCAATTACCCCAGTCTGTGGTGGTGCTGGTCAGACCTGTTGCTAAGGGAAGCCTAATCCTTTGATATAAAAACATAAATCATTATGCTAACTTTATGTCAAATCTGTTCCCAGGAGGAAACACTGCTTTTATTGTACACACCTGCCTGTTATAAAATGATAAAGTCTGGAAAAACAGGGTGGTGGCTGTGGGGGGCTTGGAAGTGAAAGTGGGTAGGGCTCAAATTACTTCTTCCCACCTTGATTAACATAAGTGAAATTTCATATCTCTCTCTGGCATCCCCACTCCAATTCTCCTCCCCACGTGATTGGTCAGCACAGCACCTTTTCCAGGTGATGTCACTGTCCAATGTGACATGTCGAGGGTGAAAACAGCACAGAAGGTTTCACAGACCTTCAGTTAAAGGTTCATGCACAGCTCTAAGGTCTGAAGAGACTTGTGTGAAATCCCACAGGAGAGAAGCCAGTCGGCGGAGTCTGTGGCAGAACCTTTTCCAGTGCCTGCATGTTGTCGTCTTTTACGAGCCAGGTGTATCGTCACACCCCTACTCATTAGCTAAGTCAGTCGGCCAAACTGTGACTTGATACTTAATGCAGGTTGTTGGCAGTTCCATCTGGCTGCCAAAGGAGGCAGCTGAGATCACAGATTAATACGAAATTCCTTAAATAAATAAAACAAATGCTTGTTTTAATCATCAGACTGATGAGCAAGTACAAATTGGAACGCAGAGTGACATATTTCAGCTGAAACGTTCAGTTCCAGACTGGGTAAGGAATTATTTTATTCACATCTGAGCATCAGTGTCTTCATGTTTCCCTGTAAGTTGTACCCCTCCCTTTACTTCCTGTGTCACTCTATCGATATGCAGAGAGAAGGCTGTTAAAAAGAACAGGTGAGGCATATTAAACCTGCAAAATGCTGATTGTAATTCAGTTGCCTTGTCCCTCACTTGCCCCAAGGGCCCCTGCTCTGGGTGAAAGCTGGAAATAAACATGAGGAGGTCTTACTCTGTTGTTCATTAGCCAGACCAACCCCAGGTCACCCAGGCTCGCTCTGTGGCTCCTGGACCATCACCACTAATTGAGGGCTGACATGGATAAATAAATTATCGGAGCAAAGCAGGATATCGGGAAGAGGAGGCGTGGGTGACGGAATGGGTAATGAGGGTGCCTTTGCTGTCCTCCTCACCTGTGTGAACCACCTCGGTACTGTTGTAGACTCCCTGAGCAGTTCAGATATTTAGGAAGACATTCATGAGCCATTACCACACACTGCTGAGTCCTCAGAGTCACCACAGGGAATCTGAGACTGTGAGAATAGCGAGTGGGAGGCTTCTTTCTGTTTTGTCTTGTTTTACGCAGCTCTTATGAACTGGCAAACTTTCACAGCATAAACACTATAATAGTATCATGCATACAGTAGAATGACATGAACATGCATTACTGAACAAGTGTCCAGTATGTACGGATCAGTCAGTTGGTTCAAATCCAGCACAAGAGAAAATACTTAAGCAAGATGGCCAGCTATATCAACTCAACTCAACTCAACTCAACTTTATTTATATAGTGCTTTACCACAGCACAGCTGACCAAAGCACTTAACATATCATACAAATATAAAAATAATAAACTTTATTTACTATGCAGCATTTTTTAAACAAAGTGCCAAAATACATGTCTGAACAGGATTAAAATATTTTAGGGCTGCAATGAGAGTTTAATAAAAGAAGAAGAAAACAATAAAAACAAAACTTAGACAACAGTGCCCCCCAAATCCACCATCTATACTGCAGCCCCAAGCACTCCCCATCAGCCACAGTATTCAGCTGTTGACTTTTTGTCCAAATGTCCACAGGTTTTCAGCAAAGGGCAAATATCTGTAAATGAACGGACCAAGTCCATGTTCTCAGAATGTTAAGCGGCAGGTCAGTCACCATCAGATTTGAGTTTTCTGACAAGTTTGTTGGCATAATACAGAGTTTGTACGGTAGCATGTTTAGTGTCAGACGCCAAGACCTCCTGTTGTTATTCTTGTGTTACTTTGAACTGGGGGATTATCATGAGATTTGGAACCAGAAGCTGGTTTCAGACTATGTTTCACAAGGTGTGCAGAAATGCAGACCTCCCCTTCCATTTCTGTGGGGCACTGCTTTCACTGCAGTTGGCACCAGCACCACAGGGGGCTCTGGCAAAACAGCGTAGCCCCGTGTGACAAAACGTAGGACATGGTTCAACGTTTTCTGCAACATACAGCAATATTATCTGGTAAGGTGACCGATTATGTAATGGGGTTTATAAATGCCAAACAAAACAAACAGGATCCATGAAGGTGAAGTTAACATCTGCAGTTAAGAGAGAAAGAGTAAACTTCCCCAGTATCATCACATATGTCATCTTAAATGTCATCTGTTGACTCACAAAAATACAAGAGTCTTGTCAAATAACTTGGTTTATTTGCCTTCCTTGCAAACATTCCTCTACATGCATTATGGCAACCCTCAGAACACACGGAACCCAGTTACGCCTTAACTCAGGAAGAACTTTCGCACATGCGCATAAGACAAACATAACATAACAATCTCCCCTAATTTTTTTTTTATTAACAACTGCTGAGCATACCAAAGTTAACTCACAATTTGAGTTTGCAAACCCCTTCACTGAGGGCCTTTAGGAGGACAAGAGCAGATGCCTCCTTTTTAGTCAAGCAATTAGCCAGCTGTTCTTTGGTAGCTGACCACACAATCTGCTGGATGATCCCAGAGTGCATGAGTTCCTTAATACCGCTGATCTCAATGCACAGCCTCTTTTCTGTGACAGATTTCGTGGACTTGACTGCATCAAGAAGAGAATGATTGTCTGTTACACACAATGGGTATGTTTATACAGTAACTGTCACCAGTTGTGATTTATGAGTAAAGTGTAGCTAGAAAAACTGCACTATCAATCCCATCGGCTATTGCTAAAGTCTCTCCAGCTAACGTACTCCTCACGACCCTCCAGATTTAGATTGCCAATATATAGGTGAGAATTTTCAGCCATGAGCATAATGAAAGGGCCTCCTTGAGTACTGCCATCCGAAAGATTACCCATGGACGAATCACTGAACACCACAAGTTTAAGGGAACTGTTCTCTCCTAGGTGTTGAAACCTCAAGGTCACCTCATCAGATTTGAGTTTTCTGACAAGTTTGTTTGCATAATGCAGAGTTTGTACGGTAGCATGTTTGGTGTCAGACGCCAAGACAGATATATCACACATCATGTCAGGTCTACTTTGTCTTGCTACCCATAGTATTTGACCAATTTTTGACTTCAAAGTGTCCATTTCATTGTCTGTCAGCAATTCTTCACACTGTGCTGCTCTGCTGGGGTCCATTTGAATAGATTTAAGATTCTTTATGTATGTTCTTTGTTGAACTTGTTACGTCCACGGCCATGGCCACCCCCAGCACCTGATCAGGTAACGCCAGTGCTCCCAGCAGCTCCGCCCCTGTACAGGTGGGAGTGCCGCCCCGGGCACCAGGCACACCTCCTGCGAGGAGACCTGCTCACACCTGGATTTACCTGGATTTACCTGCTCACACCTGGATTTACCTGCTCACACCTGGATTTACCTGCTCACACCTGGATTTACCTGCTCACACCTGGATTTACCTGCTCAGTGATCTTCACGTCATCTTCCTCTCTGCACTACTGTGGGCCTGCTCGTCAGACCAGCTTTCTCCTGTGCCTTTCCCTGCTACCCTGGATTGCTTCTTCAGCTTGCGGCGTTTACCGGCCACGCTTCGACGCAGTGAGCTATCAGATCCCCTGTAACCCATCAGACTTAGCCACATACCTCACCTTGGCTATTGCTAAAGTCTCTCCAGCTAACGTACTCCTCACGACCCTCCAGATTTAGATTGCCAATATATAGGTGAGAATTTTCCATTTTCACCCATGAGCATGATGAAATGTCCTCCTTGAGTACTGCCATTCGAAAGATTACCCATGGATGAATCACTGAACACCACAAGTTTAAGGGAACTGTTCTCTCCCAGGTGTTGAAACCTCAAAGTCACCATCAGATTTGAGTTTTCTGACAAGTTTGTTGGCATAATACAGAGTTTGTACGGTAGCATGTTTAGTGTCAGACGCCAAGACAGATATATCACACATCATGTCAGGTCTACTTTGTCTTGCTACCCATAGTATTTGACCAATTTTTGACTTCAAAGTGTCCATTTCATTGTCTGTCAGCGATTCTTCACCATTGATATAGTGGCCCTAAACTGTTGCATGGTGTCTTTGACTCGATTATACCAGTATAATGAAGCATCTGTTAGTCCATATACACATTTCTTTAACTTCCATACAGTTCCATTACTTTGTGCTTCCTGAGGCGGTCGCACGTAGATGTCTCTGGTTAGGGCTTTACCCTGTAAAAAGGCTGCTTTAATATCCATAGAGCTTGTGCTTCCTGAGATGGTCCCACGTAGATGTGTCTGGTTAGGGCTTTACCCTGTAAAAAGGCT